TTTCGCAAAATTTGACCAGCCTTGCTTCTACCAGTCATTTAAGTCAACTCCCATATTGTCCTTCACAGTGAAGGTTAATGCAGATATATTGTAAATTACACAGAGGTAATACTACAATACATTTCCCTTCACATTCCCTTGTATTACATAACAATCTTTGAGCTGAGGCAGTTATGGTTCTACAACCATCACCAGTTCTCTTGTTATATACTGTTATAAAGTGACGTTAGCTTCACGTTTATGTCCTATCAGAAATTTTGTACCGAAGCGGATCGCCAATCAGCCTACCAGCTTGTTGTACAATTATGATGTACAATTGCCTGCAGCCCTCCGTTGTGCTCCAAACTCAACAGCCGTTCGGCCGGCGAGGGCGCCACTCAAGCCTACATGTCAGGCTACTCAGGTCGTTGCACTGCCTCCGCCACACGTACATTGTCAAATACAATAATCTGGCTGTGTGTATAAGATACATGATTATTATCCATGAGGATCAGTCCGCTTTCATTAAGGGTAGGCGGATCACAGAAAACATTCGTTTATTAAGTGACATTATTGAATGGTGTGTAGAAACCGGAAACAAAGCTGCACTACTGTTTTTAGATTATGCGAAAGCCTTCGACTCGTTAGAGTGGCCTTTTTCTTTTCAGAGCCTTGCAACTTTTTTCGTTTTAGCCCGTCGTTAGATAGATGGATTAAGACTTTTTATACAAACATCCAAAGTTGTGTAATATTTTACCCTCTGGTCATCAACAAAAATACTCTGCTTATGCAGATGATACAACGCTGATTCTTAGAGATTCTTCCATTAAAGTTTCTCTAAAGATTTTGTCAAATTTGTCCAAGTTATCTGGTTTGGCCCTTAACTTAGATAAAACTGAACTTATACTTCTTGGTAACCAGAAAGGGGTATGGGAGCTTCCACGAGGCCTTTTACCAACAAATAATCCCGTAAAAGTCCTAAGTGCTTATTTGGGCCATAATAAAGTTGAAAATGAAAGACTAAATTTTTGGGATAATCTAACAAAAATTTAAAATAAACTAAACATTTGGAAATCATGGGACTTGACCATCAAAGGAAAAGCTATTTTAGGAAAGTGCTTTGATGCATCACAATTAATCTATATTATGAATAGTTTCAGTACCAATCCAAGTAGTTAAACAAGCCAGCTCTTTTCTGTTTAATTTTCTGTGCAGAGGTAGAAAGCATCATGTTAAAAATTCAACTATGATTGAAGACTATTCACAAGGTGGTGTAAAAATGATGGACCTTGAACTAATGAACAAGGCATTAAAATTATCTTAGATTAACACAATCATAGACTCACAAGCACCATAGACGCACATACCAAACTATTTCTTTAATAAATTGGGCGGATTGAAATTTCTTTTGAACTGTGATTATTCTGTTGATCGTCTTCCAGTCAATGTCAATAGCTTTTACAAAGAAATCCTTATTATTTTGGGCAGAATTTAACAAAAATTAATGAATGACCGGCCTAGCCAATACATTATCTAGAATAATAAAAATATACTCGTGGGAGGAAAGTCTGTATTCTACCACGACTGGGTAAACCGAGGAGTAAAATTCATTAGCAATTTGGTTGACAATGACGGAAATATACTAACTTACAATCAATTTAAAAGTAAATATAATATAACAGGCGAGTTTCTCACTTACAATAGCATTATAGTTGCTATACCCAGCCAATGGAAACAAGAATTTGAAAAGTGATATTTTACCCGTGCGACAGAAAGAGAATATGACCTCTAAACTGTCAAAATATAAATGTCAACATTTTTATAATGATCTGAAAACTAACAAATTTGAAAAAGCATCTGCCATAGACACTTTCAACAGAAATGGATGTGTGTGAAACGTTGACTGGCGGGCAATTTGGATAAACGTGAAACAAATAACAGTTCAAAACAAATTGTGCAACTTTCAATATAAAATACTCCATCGCATTCTTGAAACAAATTAAATTCTAAAACTCAACCAAAAGATAGATGATGATAAATGTAATCCCTGTGACCAGACAGTGGATTTAGAACATTTTTTGTGGGAATGCAAAAAAAGCAGAACATTTTGGGAGTCTTTCAAAACTTTATGGACAAAAATCACGTTTATAGACATTGCATTTGGAAAGAAGGATGATATTTTCAAGACTATTGTGGCCCGGGCCGGGTATTACTTGTGTTATGTATCATTCGTTAATTTGTAACAATTTATGTCGCCCTCTGTGTCAAGATCATGGCTAGGAACTTTTCCCACTTGACCTTTAACACAGCACCTACTTCTGAATTTGTTGATTCGTAACTGATCTTTTGTGAGATTTGTATGGGATATCAGTTTTATTTATACTCAACATGAGGTATATGAACATTCTAAGTAATTTTGATCTTAGTTTTTTACTTGACCTTTGACACAGCACCTACTTCTGAATTCTGCATTTACAATAGGCACCGGAATAAAGTTATCCTCCAGCGAACCATTTATATATTTTTTATTTCCTCGCTCCTCCCGCCATACTTTACGGGATATCGAGGGCCGTGTTGCAGTGAGAGTGTCGTACGGTCCACCACACTATAGAGGCAATTCAATCAAAGGCCTTGTGGAAGCACTTAATACTAATTGGAAAATATGAATTGTACAGTCTCAAACCAAATTTTAATAGTTATATTATATGGAGAAACGTATGGCAAATACAAACCAACAATATGGAGAGTTTATAAATAAATGGCAGAAAGCTTTATTGTATTTTAAAATCGCACACTAATTTAAAAAATCTGATTATTTTCTTAAATTAAATCTTTCTTTATCTGTTTGTTGTCAAATAGGTATGTACTTCATTCTTTTGACCTTGTATTTTGTAGTGTTTATATAGTTAACAAAACTGTATTACATAGCGCACATTTCCAAAGTTTCTGGTTAAGAATAACTTTAGTATCATTTGGATAAATATTTACCTGGATAATAGCCAACAAATCCAAATTAAGTATGTAAATGGCATTATAGAATAAAATTGAAACTCCAAAATCTAAAATATGCTTATACCAATGTTTTTTTTAACTTAATTCCTCTTTATCTGTCTACAAACAGCTATGTATTTTATTATTATCTAAAAAAGGAATCACTGTTACAAATAGAAAAGACGTGATGAATCGCATATATCAAAAATAAAAAAAATATTATCATTTATAAAAAAAATAAAAATAAGATACATGATTGGCAGCTTAGAACATTTTTATTCGATGGTCTGATAACCATGCTGATATTGATTAGCTTTACCCCTCTATTCTGTGGCACTGATTTTTTTGTTTTGTTTTTATTTTCAGATTTTGCTGCTGACGATAATACAACTATATTTGTGTTTAAATATAATGCTTTGAACCGAAGAGCAAAACCAATGAGTAAAAATATCCAGTTATGTAAGGAAAAAACAACTTCTGATAAATAATTATCTAAAACAAACATTTTTTAAACGCACCACAAAATGACTCGATGGCGCGAATCGCAGAATCACATTTCAAAATATTGTTTCATGTTGCTTCAAAATGTTCAGAAATGTTTTTTTAGAGGGATTGTTGTTTTTTTAGACGGATTGTTGTTTTTTTAGAGGGATTGTTTTTTTTTAGAGGGATTGTTGTTTTTTTTAGAGGGATTGTTGTTTTTTTAGAGGGATTGTTTTTTTTTTTTTAGAGGGATTGTTGTTTTTTTAGAGGGATTGTTTTTTTTTTAGAGGGATTGTTTTTTTAGAGGGATTGTTGTTTTTTTAGAGGGATTGTTGTTGTTTTTAGAGAGATTGTTGTTGTTTTTAGAGGGATTGTTGTTTTTATTAGAGGGATTATTGTTGTTTTTAGAGGGATTGTTTTTTTTTTAGAGGGATTGTTTTTTTTTAGAGGGATTGTTTTTTTTTAGAGGGATTGTTGTTTTTTTAGAGGGATTGTTTTTTTTTAGAGGGATTGTTGTTTTTTTAGAGGGATTGTTGTTGTTTTTAGAGGGATTGTTTTTTTTTTAGAGGGATTGTTGCGCCTAATTTTAAAATCTGATTTGTAAGTATGTACTTACTTATGGATAGTGAAAATACAGCCGTTAAAGACGTACTCAACGCATGTACAGTACAATGTTAACATGAAATTCGACGACCATCACCCTTTAAGTGGTGCCTTCAGGTGAAGGTGGTGTACTACCGCAAGCCACAATATGCTCTTCAGTGCCTGGGGGATTATCAGTAATATTCTACACATATCGTATTTTCTAAACTGCGGTCGAATTTTAAGGAGATTGCAAAAACAAGTGTATGCCAATTATCTTTTTAGTCATTGTAAATCATTCTGAACGTTTGTTAAAAGCAACACTAAAAATAATCCTATCCCGGCATGCATTTCGTGCGATGCATGTTCAGCCGATAGTCCCGAAGAAACCGCAGTTATTTAACAATTATTTTGACTCCCTGAACGGCCTAATAATAATTTCTTCTGTGACTCTATCCTATGAGGTTTTTACAAGGGTACCTCAAAGTATGCACGTAATGTAATGTCAAATCTTTTAGCATTAAGCATAATTTAATTCAACACGTATATAACATGCGTAATGTAAATAAAATACGGGATTTAGGTGTTTTATTAATGAGTAAACTTCATTTTAAAAATGTGTATTTACAAGATCAAAGATACTACATTCTTCAAAAGATTATGTATCACTCTGTCAGCTTTTTGACTCACCTTCTTTAGAAATACGTCGAAAAAATTTTGACTTGTATTTTGACACAAATCCCTTCATTCTTATTACGATTACCCTTACATTTGATCGGAAATCCCTTTAAATGTTGCACCTCGTTCTACGAGCTTGCGCTTGATTTTCCATGTCCCAAGATGTCGAGTAAATGTCAAAAAATGTTTATATTTTACTCGTGTAATTTCTCTTTTTAATACAATGGCAAAAAGAGATACAATTGATATTTTTATCAATTTTAATAGTTTTAAAACAATGTAGTCGCTTTTTTTGGAAAGTGTTTTTGTGATTTTTAATGTGCAAGCCTGTAATTGAACTCTTGGCTTCAGCTTAATAAAAAAAATGAAAAAAAAAATATGGATTTTGTTCTGTTGCGTTTTATACTCGAAATTTATATTTATTGAGACTGAATATTTAATTAGAGGTATAATGTTGCAGCTCTCATACCTATGTCGTTATTACGGAAATGCTAAAAATTCGTCGATAATAGGATGATTGACATCGCCAAAATTGTTAAAAATTAATAATCAGATGAACGAAATCACTTGTGACTCAATCATGACAACACGATGAGTTCATATTATACAACTACGACACTAATGGTATTATTGATGTCTTTGTTTACTTACATTTTTGATACATTTTTAAATAATTGATACCGGCGAAATGAGGACATTCTAATGATCACCGAGTCTTGACAATTACCGGAAAACCAACAATGCGATAACAAATAACAAAACTCACGCACTGACTCCCCCTCCCTAAATGCCAGCTCAAAATGGACTAGAGTGAACATGCTGACATGGTGACAAGATGGAAATACACAAGCTAGGTAACGAACAACAAAAACAACGTATAATATTTTAGATATACACAATATGCCCAGGTTAATGAGGACATTGCCAACCAATGTAGCTAATAAATAAATAAACGCTGCTCGGACTGATAAATATGATATATAGAAGATAATATTTGGTAATCGTAGTCCTAAATAACTATTAAAATAGCTAAACGTTAGAATCACAAAAAAATCCACAATAGAACAAATAACGCGCCTTAGGTAGTGAGCTCAACAAATGAGTTGAACTGTTTGTTAATACCATGGGGTTCTTTAGTTCCAAGGCGGAATATAGTTTCCTCCTCGACACGCCTAAGCTGATTTTCGTTGCCATTGACAACACATACACCAGAAATAGACATATCTGTAATATTATGTCCACTAGAATTAAAATGAAGTGAAACTGTATGTAGCTAGCCTACTTCTTAGAAAATGTCTTAAGTGCAGCTGTAATGTTTAATGTATTATTGTTATAAATATATTTCTCACAGGTGCGGCGTCTTTTTAACAAAATCACTCGTAATGCTTTGAAGTTTTTTTTTCATAAAAACCTAATCCGTAGACTTGTTGGCTATCCACATGACCACAGTGGCCGATATATACTTGATGTTAACCGTGTCAAATCATTTTTCGAAATTTACAGAAAGTGCTTGCTTGTCCAACACCTGTATATTGGTTAGTTTATGGAACAGTGAATTGAGATGAAAGTCAGCCTTGTTTGTCAACACCTGTATATTGGTTAGTTTATGGAACAGTGAATTGAGATGAAAGTCAGCCTTGTTTGTGTGCATGTACGAAATAGCAAACCAACTATTGTTTCATGTTTATATTTTTTTATTCATTTAAGTATTTATTTATTTATTTTGATATGGACACATTTGTCTGAAATACAAATAAAATAAATAATAATAAAAAAAACAGTCCACATGATTCAATGAAGTGCTGAGTGAAATGAGTAATCACTCAGCTCAAGAAATGTATGTTGATTACGTGATGGAATGCTGCCAATAACGATACGTAATGTTACACGGTAACTCACCATAACTAGATCCATTGTAATAGTTGATCACCTTTAACCCTGCTGGGTTGGAATAGAACTACCATTATAAGTCAGAAGGAGGTAACTGGCTGAAAAGATTGCTTCTGTTTTGTTTGGGAAGTCATTTTGGAGTTGGTAGAAGGCAAAGAAGTCAATGCTTAGTGAATAAATACAGTCTGGTAAGTAACATGACCTACTATCTAGTGGATAGGTATTTTTTTGACGACATTTAGAGATCCGTTAAAGGTTGTTGGTCGCCGCGCAGTGCGTGTTCGAATTTCATGGGAACACACAATGTGTTTTACACGTGTTGTATACGTTGCTATGAGTCCCATATCCGCGCGACGACGTTTCACGGTTTCACCTAGACTGTCGCCAGTCGGTCGTACCTAATATTAATGTGTTATTATTAATAAATATTGTGTATAAACGTAATATGCGTGAATAAATTGCGAACGCCGGGACAGGTGGGCTGCAGATTCGGGTACTTTCATATGCAAATGATAGTCGAAGAGATGTCTATCATTTTATCGTGGCCTAACTGTACTGTACTATACGTGATCGCGACACATACCACAGCAGTTTTTGATATCATGACACAAACAAATCTTGTCGAATGCATTATAGAAGTGCTGGATTGTTTAGACTACCATTATATTTCTTGCAAAGAATACCAGCGAGACACTGTCGCAAACTACACAGAGGGGAGAGATGTGTTCGTCGGCGTGCCGTGTTTACAATCGTCAAAAAGAACTCGTTTCTAAACCAGAGAAAATGGGTTTTAATTACAGATAATCAGAAATCTGTAATCAGCGAAACAAGTGTCCTCGACATGCAGTATTCACAACTGTCGGACTGTGTATATAACGACATAAAATATTTGCCCACAATAACAAGATTTTAATTAGTAAACGGTTCGCTTCGCTAATTACAGATAATCGAAAATCTGTAATCAGCGAAACAAACCCTCTGCCACAACAAATTCGACTTCTTCTCACGTCGTAGTTCTGTTGATTTTCGGTTTTGTGTATTTTCTATTTAACTGCCACAAACGTTGTTTCAATGGTTCTAGGCGATTTAATAGTTTCCTTGTTATTTTGGCTAGAGTGACTGTATTCATTGTGTTCACAACGTAAACAACCAACCCATTCAGGAAGTCAGCCATTTAGAACAAATTTGCATACATTATGTTAATATAATTTATTTTGTAACGTCAGCATCAACTATTAATTATTCATATCAACTAGAATCATGTAGACGGGGACAGTCTCTCGGGACTAAATTCCCTCGGATGAAATGCTTCCGCATTTCCCATCAAACGCCTTCGGCGTTTAAATGTCTAGAATGAACATTGCCATTAGGCCCGAGGACTGTCGACAGTCTTGGTTTCACCCCAAACGCCTGTGAATTTATTCTTGTATCTTCCGACCATCATTACATTAATTCTACCACCTGCACTAGCAAATACTTGAAAACAGTGTATACGGCATTTTATTTCATGGTGTCGTTTTATTTTGAACATTTACATTTGGGCATAGTTCAGAATCGTACGATTACATCGTTAATCATCGTGACAGTTGTATTCTTTATCAGGGGCAGTGACAGGTTGTTACTGGACCATACTTAAATACAGTGTGTCAAGTCATCGGTGTTTTGTCTTTGCAGACTCTTACGTAAATAATAACCTTCCTATAAGCCCCTTTCCAATTCCATCCTCCATTGTATTTCCCATGATGCTTAGAGAGAGGTCACGGGGTCACGGGGTATAAACATTGAGTACAGGAAGCAGCACTGATACAAGTACTATACACAACAAGCTCTATTTTTTCCAGAAACCAACCATTTAAGGTGAGTTTTCTCAATATTTTTCACTGTGATTAACTTAAACCTTTGACAGATTAGTTTATAGTGTGTTTTAATTGCAAAAGAAATCTTTATTTCATTAAATGACTCAGTTTGTTCATAATATTTGTAGTCATATAAAGCTTTGCATTATTGTCCATTTTTTTATAGTTGAATAATTTAGTCTTAACATTTTTTTTTATGTAATGTGCTAGCTTAGCCTTGTCTAATTTTTTATGTGCATTTCCTATTTTTCCTATTATTTATTCTTAAACATTGCCAATCCCACCAGGGAAT